TCCGCATCTAGCATTCAGTTCCTGTCTCATTATGGCTTTGACTATAATAAGGTACGTAGTCTCTACGTTTGAAATCTGGAACAGAGGAAGTCTGTCTAACTACAGGAGAAATTAGAATTGACATCCCCAAATGCTATATTTCTGGTGTAAATACCTTCTTGCTAAAGTACGTATGCGGTGACTATGTGGTTTATTATCAACAGGGAGAGAGCCCTGGCTTCAGGGCTGCTACAGAGGCAATTGACCATTTCTTTGTCAGCCTAAGACAGATTTCCCTGTCTTCAAGGAAGAAAGCCCATCTCTAGCAGGCTGAGAAGAGCAGTTCTTTAGCACACCTTCCTGGGGCACCTGGACTGCCTTGCTACCCCATCATGCTAGCTTTATTAGCTGCCAAGATGAGGAATTCTCAATTTATCTGCGTTTGATGTACTCCCACATTTCCAATAAAAGTCAGGCTATGCCATGACATAACAGCACTGTTTAGCAGTTTTGGACAGGAAACGTCACGATACCTTGACATTTTTGAAGTATCTTGTTAAAGGAAAGGTAAAAGCAGAGTGCAAAGAGAAAAAGTCTGATTAGAGGTGACAAAAGGCCTCTTCTTTCCTCGAAATACAAATACATCTTGCTTTATTTTTAAATACATCTTTTGTTACTTGCAGGCTTTGAGCACCTTTGGGGGGGGGGACGCTTCTGAAGAGAGCATTTTGAGAATGAGGAACATCAGCATCTCCCAAATGCATGCCAATTTTGGACATACCTGTAATACCTGTCTTTTCTGTAACTTGATGCAAGAAAGTCCAGGGGAGAATAACCCGCTTGGAACTTTTTTCCCTTCAGTTCCTGAAAGATGGAATCCCATACATGAACGAGTTACAGGAGAAGACCCTTAGCCAGCATCTCTTGGCAGGTAGCTGGAAAGTCTGCAGGTGAGCATTCCCCAGAGAGCCGCTTCCTATGCTGACTCTCTTGGCAGCTCACGTTCATTCAGGTTGAGTTTTGTAGAAATACTAAAACTTGTTGATTTGATTGCCTTGCTGCCAGCTGTTCCAGCATGCAGCCGTCTCTCTAGAGAAGGGCTGAGATCACAGGATATGTAAAATAAGAAGAACTAGGTGAATGTTTGGGAAATCATGCTTTTGCATTCCCACGTTGACGGGAAGGCATGAGGCTCCCTCTGTAAAGAGCGTTTTTTCCCTCTCTATCTCCCTGATCGTGCTTCAGTGTCCTGGACAGGGAAAGGATGAAGAAGGCAATTGATGAGGTGACGTGCTGGATAGCAGCAGCAGAGGAAGAGGAAACTATGATTCTGCAGGATCTGAGTGGTATGAAACGGGGTGCCTCCCTTAGGTGCCTGTGGGCTCTGAGCGCCTTCATCACTTTTCCTGAATGTCTAGGGGTGGCTGCCGTCCTTTGCCTGTTCTGATAAACTGGTCTGTTTAGCATGAAAACATCTGTTCCTGTCTCGTCTTTACAGCTAATTGCCCCGTCTGTTCCTCAGTTCTTGTCAGGCATTCATCTCTGGGGTTTGCTTTTCTGCTTTGTTGGGGCGATTGATCTTCCTGTAAAGGAAGTGGATGACTGGGTGTCTGGAGGAGAGGGATTTGCTTTGTGCTAACCTGCTTCCGTTTTATGCTCCTTCAGACCAGCAACTGGAGAACTTGTAGTTTCTCTGAATGTGGAGGACTTTAGACTTTTGAATGGTGATCTGTTTCTTGTTTGTTTCCTTACCTTATAGAAGTGAAAAGTAGCTCTCCATCCAGAGTTAGTTCCCCCTTATGTGCAGCAGCAAGGAGCTCCATGGAGCCACAGGAAGAAATAATGCCCATGTGGATAAACAAGCCACTCGCAGGCTATGTTAACTTCTGGGAGCAAGAAAGCAGAGCTGAGGAATTTATGTGTTGTTTTGAGGGTGTTGCAGGACAGAGAATTGTAGCAAGAACACTTAGTAGGTTTGCTCGTAGCAACCACATCTTTAATGTATAGGGTAGGCAACAGAGACAAGGTTAGGAAGGACTGAAAGTATTTAGGCTTTGATGCTTTCCTACAGTGTGCGAAATGGAATGGGGTGGGGAAATATGCTCAGTTTTTTTAATCTATCAATTGTAATAGGTGCGATGGTGATATTTCAGTACGGTGTGGTAACAGTGGGCACCTGTGACAGAAAGGGCATCTGTTTAAGAAAGCAGTGAGGCTGACTAAGGTGTCTCTTTGCATATTGTGGTCTCTTAAGATGAGGATTGATATTAATTTCTTATCAGCTGTAGGGGAGAATGCATTGATACCTGTCATCTGTGCTTGGCCTCTGGATGACTGTCACACATTTCACAGACGGGTCAGAATTCTTCAGAGTGCTCATGATGGTCGTCTTGCCTCTTCTCTTTTTCAGTTTGTCTTTTTCTTTCTTCTGTGTCCTCGCAAAAGCTTATTTGCCTGAAATACTGTGATGTTTTTCCCTTATCACCATATGTATGAGAATTTACCAAGATCAGAAATAGTTTTTGTGCCCTGGAAGAGAAACATCAGATTAGTCTTTGTATGGAGAAAAATGTGATTTTTCTGAACAGGCTTCTCTGCACCTCTGAAGTTCTTGTTCCTCCTTTCTTGTCTCAGGCATTTCGATGTTTGAAGTTCAGCTGGTTCTAAGGCGAGCTCTCCAGAACGTTTGGACACAGCCTCTTGGAGACAGTGAGGTGAGCTGAAAACTAAGGTGTTTGGGAATAGGTTTTCTATCTAGACAGATATGACTGGCATTCCTGCAGGGGTACTGAAATATGTTGCTTGTACGTTTAAGGATAGGGGTCCAGGAGGAGAAGAGAATATAAAGGAACGTTCTGGGAAGTGTTGGTTCTGGATCCCTTTTCTTGGGATCTCACAAAGTTGAGTAGCTTTGGTTTCAGTTTCTCCTGTAGCCGCAAAATGTCTTGAAGTGGAAGCACTTATTTTTGGGGCTTTCCTGGAAGGACTTTCTAAATCTCCGGACTTTGCTGGATCTCACCTTCAGTACCCACCTACAGAAGATTGTAGTTTTTAGCCTTTTTTAGTGGTTTTCCATTGACTTCTGAGTTTTGCTTTGGAAACTTTCACTCTGTGTTGTATGACTTGTTTTTAGTGGGATATGCCACCTTTCATCTTCAGATCGCTATTTTAAGCGTGGTGTTTTTTTTTCTCTGCATTAAACCTATGGCTGTGGACTTCTCAAAACATGACATGAATAAGACCAGTCTGTTGCGTAGAAGTCAATTACAGAAATCTTTTTTTGCATCAGGACTGTTTTGGCCTGATAACCAGTGGCAACAGAGTGGAAGGATTTACCCAGCCTTCTCGCTTGAAGTACAACCTTTGAGGATTCAGTTTGTGTGATTCCTCCTTGTTTCTCTTATTCAGTGCCATGAATTGGTTATCGTAATGGCATTGAGTTAAACTGGATTATGTCCATTTGTGTTTCAAGATATCTATGGTAGCAAGCATCGTCTAAGAAAAGAGAGACGTTACTGAGATACCCTTAGAGCAGATATTGTTTATGGAGCACTGATCTCTGTTCGGGGAAGAAGAGTGAGGCAATCCTGAGGTCCTGGAGGATGCACTGTTTCTCCTTCCTTGACAACCTAGAAGCTGCACCTTTGTCCTCAGTGTTACTGAACCCCAGTAAGCAAGATACATGCTACTAGTATTGGAGGCCGAGGGACTCGGTAACTGTTCTTTCCAGGTAATGGTGAAAAAAGTGAGTCCACAGCATCGTCGGCTTCTGGAGAACTCTTCTTATGACTGCTGCCAGAAAGAGCTCATTCTTATGTCTGCCCGGGGCTTCACCAACCTCTTCCAGGCACTTGTTAAAGCCAAGAAGGTAAAATGCCTTATTTCTATTTCTGTCTGTCTGTCTCTCTTGTTACACTGGAAGTGTTTTGTAACAGGGGGGTTATAAGAGATAAGTGCTGTGTATTGAGTGACTTGACTCATTCGGTGTGTGAATGGCTGTGGGCTAGCTTCATCACCTCCTTTTCAGCTGACGGTAAAACCAAGCTGAATTCTTAGATTGCAATCACGATCATAAAAATAAGGCTGTTAAACATAGCATCATCTGAACTGATCAGGTCCCACTCCCAAAGTATGCTCGGAATTATTGATCCAACAGTAAATTTCCCCACGTTGCATTTCTGTTACTCCCGTAGACCACGTGAGACCAAGGGAGAGGGAGCCAGAACCCATTCTGAAAAACGTTTCTTAAATGACTTTAGAAAATGTAGGCGTTTGCAACGCTGAAAATCCTTGTATTACACCGCATGAGCCACCGTATCAGAGAACTGAGCGAATTATGCTTTGCAGTAATCGGTAGATAGGCTTATTGGACCACCCAAACCATTAGTCTGATTATATGTGGCAATTCTTATGTTCTGTATGCAGATTATTGAACAAATTTCAGTTTTAGAAATCTTTATGGCTGCTGGGAAGTCAAAGGCGCTCTCCCCCCTGGTGAGTGAGCCTATAAATCTGATCACTGGAAGACTTTACCTGGCTTTAGCTGAATAGACAGACCACACCCCTGTGGCTCCTTAGGTCCGCTCAAAACGAAATGCTGCTGAAAAGTACCCTCCTTGGAAAGACCACAGATCTGACTTCCTGAAAGCCCTAGCCCTACTGTGACTCTTGCCACCTGAATGACTGTTGAGTGAGCGCGTGTGGATGCTGCCAGGGAATGAAAGGATTGCCGCTCTTGAGCCGGTTTGAAGTTCGTTATTTCTGAGACATTCTGCAAAGGTGTGCTCCAATGGGCTGTTCTCTTTATATTCTTCCTGTAGCCCCTGGTGGGACACAACATGCTCATGGATCTTTTGCATCTTCATGACAAGTTCTACAAGCCCCTTCCAGGTAACGCTGTACCTAGCCGCTGTCCCCAGCGGTGGTCCACCACACTGCCGCCTTTGCAGCAGGGATGGAAGAGTCAGCACAGCAGTCATTCACCACCTCAGCCACCCGCAGGGTTTGACAAGCAGCGGTGCTACTGAGCTACCTCTTCTGACCACTTACTGCTGGAGCAGTGCCTTATTCCTTTGACTGCCCCTCCCCTTCTTATTCACATGAAATACTACTGGCTTTTCCTCAATTTTGTAATGTCTTTCTCCACATGTGTTTTGCTTTCTTATTTCCCTGTCAGAAAGCTATGAGGAGTTTAAAAGGAACATTCACAGCTTGTTTCCTGTCCTCATAGACACCAAGACTGTAACGAAATCCATCTGGAAGGTGAGATGCAAAGGTCTTTTTTGTTTGGAGTTGATTACGTAGCTGTGGTCGGTTCTCAGTGTTGCCAGTAGGCATTCTGATTTGGGATCTCATTTAATGCGTTGACCGTAACAGAAAATGAGCTCACTTGCCACCAGGGCTGTCTCAGTTGATTTTTCTATCACGTTTTTCTTTTACAGAAATACCCATTTCCTCGAGTATCTAATCTTTTGGAGGTATATGAAGTTTTGTGCAGGTAAGTGGCGAGCTACAAGAGGTTGAATGGTCCCTTTATTTTCTTGGGAAATATCTTTCCCAAGTCAGTCATTTCATATATGCATGCATACTTTCCTTCCTTCCAAACGTTCTTCAGTGTTGTTTTTTTTTTTCTTGTCTTTCTAAATTTAACAGCACAAACTTGCTGGCCCCCATTCAAACAGTATTCAAATGGAACCATCTAGTCAACCCCTTTCCCTGGAGTTGTCCGTTGTGTTGATGTTTAGTTTAATTCACGTTTTTGTATGCAATTAGAACAGATTTGCTGCTTAATAGATTTGGGTAGGGGAAGAAACTGTGGTAGCGTGTAGGAGTTAGTATTTAGGAAGGAAACTATTAGCTAATATTGAGCTAAGTTTGGTACCTTTTTTTGAAGGATGCTACCAAAATTCCTTTTAAAAAGTTTTAAATAGCTTTTTCTAGAATGAAATCCCAGGTTACCAGAGAGTAGGAAAGGGCGGCACATAACTTGTCTTCTCTCTGACATACTAAGGAAAGACAACAATTTCACACATCCGCTTGTTTTCAGCAGTGACCTAAATCCCACAGATCCAACATGTCCAGTGATTGTTCTTGCAAGCGACTGCTCAAGATACGGTAGGTACCTTAGGCACATCTTCAAACACAAGTACCTAAAAGGGTTTTATTTTACTCTGTGGATATCCACATGCAAAGCATGAGTGAGTGTCAGGCTTGTGGTGAATTTGCACAGAGCTTTTGATGTGCACCTTTGCCCAGGCCCAAATTCTGACCTTCCACGATGTCATGTGCCGTGCATATCCCTGGCAGCCACCAAGGGTACTGCAAGGCAGGATGCGGAGGTCTGCATTATGCTACTAGCACAAATGATGTTTGCATGCAGTTGGGCTGAACTGTGAAGAGTCAACAGCCCTTGGAAGGGGCAAAGAGGTAGGAAGAAGCCGTCTCAGCAATGGGAGCTGAGCAATGGGAGAAAATGGGAGGAAGGTCCCAGGAAGAAACAGGAGCTCTGTGGCTTACCTGAAGGGTTAGTGGTGTCTGTGCAGGAGGATGTGTTCAGGGCTTTGTATGATAGTGGCTGCCCAGACAGATGTTTCTTGTCTTTTCCTGACTGCATGGTATCATGCAGTGCAGAACCTCCTGCATACACTTTGAAATGGTTTCCATACTATCAGTGATGTGTAACTCTGTTCTAGATCTTCATAAAAAATAATTTAATTCTGTATCTGCATCTTAGTAAGCTTTTCAGCCACTGGTGTAACTGCTGCCGTTTGGTTGGTATCATTTTAAAATTTGTGGTGGAAGCATAGACCTCTTACGGGGTATGAAGATTTAAAGGGAAGGAGGAGAACAGAGCCGAGGGAGAGGCGAAAAAAAACCAAAGCACTGGATCTTATGAATGTAAGGATCTTGTGACCGAACAGTTTACACAGTGTGAGAGAGGTGCTTATTTCTTTCTGATTTTGTTGGTTACTTACAGCTGAGAAGAAGTCTCCTCATGAGGCAGGCTATGATGCATTTCTCTGTGGCTCAGGTAAAACGCTTCTTAAACTCGCGAGAAGTATTTGTGTTGGAACTCGGCCATTCCTTTCCTGCGCTGTAACTTTATTCATTTGGTGGCAAGTAATACTTGCTTATATAGTTTGTTGTTCTTAACTTATCTGCACTTCAGTGAGTTTTTGCTTTTTGTTTCTCTTTGTTTAGTTAAGTTTTCATGATTTGGTTCTAATACCACTTCATTATTCCTCCTTCTAGTCCTTCTGAAAGGAGCTCACTTGCTACTGGGCAGATCGACAAGGTGAGTAATGTTTAAATGTTTATTTTTCAAAAACTGCATTACATGGGTGGGTCTTATGAAAATCAGCTGTCAGTTTGCTTTGGATGACATTTTGTTTTGCGATCTGGCTTTGTTTTAGGATAGGAAAGTGTTATTGAAAATGTCACTATTCTAATTAGATTGTGATTTTTTTTCTAAAACTGAAAGCAGCAGCTTTATGTCAAAGCTGACATTTTCAAAATGAAATCAAGGGCCATGAGGTGGCTTGAGGGTTAGGAGATGGCATTGTGAGTCCTACTTATCTTTGAACAAGCTCTCTGAAGTTCAGTTCACTTGGATAAGGCTCAAATTATTTTCCATTCGTTTCCATTTTTGAGATCTGTATGATGTAATGACTTCAGTAAAGTTCCTAGCGGACAACTGTTCAGATTCCTTCCCTTTGTTTGAAACTTTTTTGACTTCTGTAGAGGATATCAGACCTTGAAAGACCTGCTCTATAACCAGAAGGGCTGCTGAAGTCAGGAGCTCTGTGCTGCAGAGGTACCATGTAACAGTGCAGCTATGGAGAAACAAAACATTGTTCCATTTTGTTTTCTTGCTTAGTGTCACTGCAGAGGCTGATCTTTCTTTCTCTGAGTATCTCAGCGCATTAGTCAAGTATCTGAACAAGGTGCATTTCATCCAAGGTGGCGTTTCAAGCATTGTATGTATAATTGCAGCTCTGTACCAGTTTGTGGGACGTTTGGGTCACTAGCCTAGATGATGGCTTTGTTAGTGGGGGGGGGGGGGAACCTGCTAGTGCCTGCCTGGGCCTACCTTGGCAGAACATTTCTCCATACAAAAGGCACAAATGACCTTTTGAAGTAGCAAATGAATTGCATTTTTGTCTTTTGAAATGTATTAATGTTGTCACCCTGAAAGATGGCATCAGCCAGCTTGTGCTGCCCTAATTCTCCTGGCTCTGTAAGGTGGCTTGATATTGTGATTACCATGGTGAAACAGCCAGAACAACAGTTTTGCTTTTGTGATTCAAGTTTAGAAAAATCCTGAGACAAAAGAAAAATAGCCTTGCACCGTAGCTGTGTTGTACTGCCTGGCTTATGTACACGTGGCATGTTTTGCATGTTTTCTGATTATGTTAGTAGTGTTTCTGTATTTCTGAACTCAGCTGTGTCTCAATATTCTGTATTTTCCAGAATTTTTCTGGGGTAGATGCTCCTTGCCGACGTCCTCCTCTGTTGGTTGTCCACGTCCACGGTTGGCGAGGGCTGAATGAAAGGCAGATTTACCAAGAGTTAAAAGCTCTTTGTCGGTTTGATGTTAAACTTCTTTCAGAGAACCAGTTCATTTTGCTCTCCAGTAAATTTAAGTAGTAAGTGACCAATCTTTGTTCAAAGTCTCCGTCTTGCCCTCTCTTTGCTCTGGCAACTCTTAAACAAAGAGATTGCTCTCTTGAGTTGTGAGAGGCTGTAAACAGCCTGCAAGTCATGGCTGATGACATCTGCTCTCGTTACAGTGCCAGGCTTGCTCTACAAGAGTATAAAGATCACCCTAATCTGCAGATTTCTCTTTATCACCACTGGAGGCACTCTCCACACGTAAACTGCCTCTTGCAGTAAGTTACAACAATGACATGAATGGTGGGGAGAAAGCACGCTCTCCAGGGCGTCTGAGCCCAGGCACAGAAGCAGCCTGTCGCTCTTCTGCAGTGTCCTGCCAACCCTTCTGGAGAACAAGGGGTTCGGAAGCAGGTTCACATGCAAACCTATGGTGGCTTCTCCTGTGCTTTCACCTCTGGACAATGGGGTTTTAATCTTGATCTTGATTACCAGGGAAATGTTTCCTCATGAATATCACAAAATCGTGTGCTATCATTGCAGGCAGAGGGTTATCTTAATGAGCTGTGGGAGAGGGAGGCAGAGTCTCCAAATGTGGGGTGCATGAGGTTTTTTCTGTTTTTTGTTTTATTTATTATTTTTTAAAGCCAAGTTGAAAGCTCAGTTGCAGGAGAGAATTGCGGATTCAAAGTCTCATGAGGCAGTGCTGGTGATGCTGGTGAAGAGTGAATTTCTGACATGACACAGTTTGGAGAAAAAATCCCAGTTCTTAATAACTACAAAATTAATCCCTAAATATAAGTTGCCTGACAGTGTTTTATCATTCTTGCCCTTTAGAGTCTCCAGTATTGTGGCACTGTGGTCTCTCTTGGCCTTCGTACTGGGAGGAGCTCCTTGCCATTCCGTGTAAAGGATTGCTTTACGGATGAGACCTGAGGAATAGTGATCTTATTTTCTTTCTGTCTATGTTTTGTTTTATTTTTCTTGCACAATAAAGTATGAGCAGTAAGAAGGTGCTAATAGTGTTTTAATTGTCTTCTTGCAAACCTATTTTTAAAAAGGATGCTGTGGTTTCCAGTTAGTGTTATTTTGTTAATCTATTGAAAGCATAGTCCCCTTCTGAAGAGGAGGAGATGGTTTTTTGGATGACTCATTTATTATTTGATCTTCTGTTGGGTCTTCACAGCAATTCTTAATGCCAATTTGTTTTCAGTGCTTGTACTGCTTTGTAAAACACATTTTTGTTAAAGTTCTGGAAGTTACGAAATGAAAGAGGCTATATTTAGCTTCGGTTGTAAAGCAGAGGAAATGTCACTGTTGTCCAAATTAAAATGGGTAGAGTTAATTGAGAAACAGCTCTTGAAGCTCATGGAAGATTTTAGGGAATAGTAAATAGTGCTGTGACTGTTCCACGTTTCAGTGGTAGTGGAGCTGAAGGTAAACACAGATGAATGGAATGTATCTGCTTCAAATTTGTAGAATATGCACAAGTCAGGTGAGTTGGCACACATTTCTGTCTGGCTCTGGTGCACAGCACGTGAGCGCTGCTCTATCCAAAAATGTAATGAGACGTGCTTTGCTGATCAGTTTCTCTGACATAACGTGAGTATTTGTCACTCCAGGGACTCCTCTCTTCTGAATTTTCGTTTGTGAATTTCCTTGTCTCAAAAAAAAAAACAAAAAAAAAACAAAACAAAAAACAAAAACAACAAAAAATCTGTGACTTCCAAATAACGGTCCCTAGATTTCATCAGTCAGCACCTACCTGACTGGGACCCACAGTCATATAATGTTTAGAATCTGCCTTTAATTAACTCTAAAATGGAAGCTGCTGTAAAGAACCTTTAAGCAGCCATACAGTATTGCAGTGGGTGTCAGGGTCACGTGCTCTCTGCTGCTAACGGTTAGCACTTTGCTGTCCTTAAGGAGAAAAGGGCAATGTATCGTCAAATGTGGTTCTCAAACTCTGTACAGTTTGTGGTTTACAGCTCTTATTTCATAAGCTAGCTCTTAGTCAAACAAGTAACTGACTTCTTCCCCCCCCCCCCCCCCTTTTGTAACCCCTTAAGTAATGGGGTCCTCCGTGGCAGTGTTCCTTTCAATACTTGTGTATCTCCCTGTTTATCATTTCTGTTATATTTTTCTGTCTGTTAGCATCACTACAAACCCTCTTGTGTGGAGAAAACAGGCTCCATGTGTTTGTGTGGGTTTGTGAAAAGTTTTCACTGGCAGTTTCGTGGAGCTGCCTTGAAGATACTGTTAGGTTTGATAACTAATCCCTAAATACATTCCCACATGGAATAAATTCTAGCCAATGTAAGATATTTGTAAAGCTGAGCATCGCCTGATGTTTTGTTTAGTAGATAACAAAATGCATTCAAGTCAGCACTGCATACTTCCTACAGAAAGTGTACTGCTCCCCTCTGTGAGGAAGACAGGACCGGTGCGAAACACAAGAAACAGAAGAGTGCTCTAGCCACTGGGCACTGAATGGTGCTGGACTAACCAGTGGTGTGGATTTCCCAGCAGCAAAGGCTGGCATGGGGGGGAGGAAAAATTTGACATTCTGACTCAAGTTGTAAGCAATTGCTACAAAGTGAGGAAAAGATAGGTGTACAGTGCAGCAAAGAATAGAGAGTGCAAGAAAATAGACTGAAGGGGCAATTTGCTGTGAAAGCAAAAGAATGAGAGATCTGCCTTCGTGAGAGAATACCAGATGATTCAAATTAAGAAAGGTATGTTGGAGAGAGATGTTTATCTTCATAGGATGTGTCCCATCTCTTTAAACCAACAGTTAGTATTGCTATTAGGTGACTATCCTATAAATGGTAGAGCAAACTTTAATAAAATCATGGCAGTGTTATTTGGCGGGCCCTTATTAACACCCAGGCTAGTGACAGGTTACTGTATTTTATAAACTAGCACCTCAGTTAGAAGCTAATTTCTTTTAGAGTAGCGGAATGTAATTATTGTTCTGCCTGCAGGTATACTTTTCAGTCATTCCACTTCTGTCTAAGATTTTTGATCAAGAGTTTAATCTATCATTTAAAATGAATTGGGCCTAGCTGCATTAATCAGGCAACATTAAAAATAAGAAATGTAGAGTTCGAATTACAGCACAAGTTGATGGAAACTTCCTGTTCAGAGATGTTTGCTCCAGATCCCTTACCTGTGAATTAAGAATAGTTGTTATTTCTTTCTCTTAATGAGGTTCTAGAGTGAGCGAGATGGTATACAGGTATCTAGGAGAAACTCATTATTATTTTATCTGACGATTTTCCAATGCTAAAATATGGTATTTGTTGCCACTGGTGTTCTAGTGATGAAGCCAAAGACTGAATCCATGTGAAGAGCAAATCAGTTACTTCTCACTGTGCCCCCCTCGTAGGCAATGAGGAACTTTGTACTTCGACAAAGGAGATGTGTGCTTACTGACTCATCAGGTTTACGTTATTGCTGACACTGTGTTGTTTTTCCCTTGAAGAAATTAAAAGGAGGGAAGACTTAAAAATCGGCTTTCAAAATTGCCTTGCTGCCTACACTTAAGAGGAATAAAAGCTTAAATGTGAGTTATTGCTGGCACCATGTGGCAAAGGCAGTGAAAGAGCATGATAGATGAGAATAGGGTATTTGAAGGGCCACTGCCAATTGCAATGTTTGCAATGACTGAGCCACAGTGACTCTTATAGGTGCTCTAATGAATAACCGTTTTTAAAATTTTCCTACAAAAGTACTGTCCTGGAGATAGGAGTTGGGAAACATCATTCCCTTTTGTTATCTGGGGCCCTTACTCAGCTAACTATTTAAATGTGGGGAGAGGAAACCACTCTTGCATCTAACCTTTATGATCCCTAGATCCTAAAGATATAGATGCTGTTACATTTGAGAAGCACAGTAGTTTTTAAGGGAGCGTCATCTCTGGTTTAAGGAAAAAATATAAATTGATTGTTCTGTCTTTAAATTTTGCTCCCTTTCCCTTGTTTTCTTTTCTGAGTGGCACATGGACAAATGACAAATTAGTTTGCTGCTGAAGTATTCTCTCCCCTGGCTGACCCTTTAAAGAAACATGCTTCATGGTGGAATAAAGCAGATATCCTTTCACCCCTTTTTGGGAAACACTCCACGGGTCAGACTGTGCCTTCTTCCTTTAAGGGACAAACATACCTCATGTAGTGAAATAGTGTAGTCAATCAAGAGGCTTGGTTTCCCAGCATTAGAGCTGGGAGCTTTTAGATTATAACTATAGCTTTTGATCTAGTAGATATGCCTACTGTACATCAGTTAAGTTTACGTCCACCATAAATACACAAAGAATAAATAAGAGCAGGTTGAATATATGGTGATCTCCCTCCTAGGGGACAATCTTCAGGAAGGAAAAAAAAAAGTGGCCTGTTCATTGTAACCTAGGGTTACTCATTGCTCAGAGCCTTTTAAAGACATCAGTGGTGTATGGTAGCAGTCAAAATTCCATGAAATCATTTAGCTGGGGGCTAGTACAACAAATCAGAGCAAACTTTCAGCTATGAGAACAGATTCATAGGAGATGAAAAGTTTCTCTGAGCAGCTGTAGACGAAGACGGGGGGGGATCTCCTTGAATGTGCCTGTGTGGCCATTCTGACCTCAGCTACTGCTTTTGCTCCAGATTAGGGTGGTATTATTATTTGAAGCTGGAAGTATCGCACGTAGTTCTGGTTCTGTGTCCCTACATGTCTTCTGCAAGGATTCTTTTGAAGTCAATTCAGGGTGACGCACACCTGCCTTGTAACTCCGTCTCTGAACAGGTAAATGTCAAAGTTGCTGTGTGGCTCTGAGGGCTGGCAGCTGGAAATTAAACCTGTCACCCTAAGACGGTAATTAAACCACAGCAAAGTCCTTAGGAGCAGTTATAGCACATCTGGTTCTCGGCTTAAGATGGTTAGAAAATTGCATTTTAGCTTGTAAGTCTAGGAAGGATAAACTGCAGCACTTAAATTCTAACATCTAACTCGTTTTGTTAAGTTGTGAAAGTCCTTATTAAAAGCATAACACTCCTGGAAATTGAGTGTTAACGATCAGAATATTACTATTTCCCAGGAACAATTTGACTTGTAACACTTATTTAATCTTGAATGTGTTTTTAAAAAAAAAAAAAAAAAAAAGTATTTTTTAAAAAAAAAGTCCCTTCTCCAGTGAGAAGCCTCTAAGGCCATCTCCTATTGTAAAACACCCAGAGTACAAATCCTTCAATGGAGGAGCTAAGTATTGTCTCACATTAAAAGAAATTTCATCAGGCCAGATAGTCTTTGAGAAATTTTATTTTTATCATTAATTTAGACAAAAAACCCACCAATTAAGCAAAAAAGGTCTGTAAATGGTAAAGGCAAAACTATCTCTAAATATTCCTTTAAACAACATTCTTGCTGCTCATGGCTGCAGTAGAGATACTCCAGACTTACACTAACAAGGAGGAGCACAGAATTTACCTCTCTATTAAAAATCAAGTTGTTGTTTTTATACAGGGGAAAATGTCATATAGTCCTATGTTTTCCTAATGGTGTTAATTAATGCTTCTTCATATTATACATTTACTCAAAATGCAGCATAGCTGAAAATCTTGATACATATTGGAATGGTGTCTTGCGGGAAGAATAAAATAACTGCAGGCTAAGTGGCAGCGTTGCTCACCTGCTTGATGGTGTGTAACCTAACAAACAAGGATTGTTCTGCCTGAATCAGAACATGATGTGTTAAGGAAAATTCAGTATGCCTTAGAGCTTGTCAGATGTCAAGGAATATCTTTCTGCTCAGTTAATGTATTTTTGTATTCTCTGCATTCAGCACCAGATCTCTGACTTGGAGTTTGTGGTTTTAGGTCTCTTCGTTTCCAGGCGATCTTTCCAACAGTTCTTCTCTGCCAGCTGCTCTAGTCTTCACGGGAGAAAACAAGTCCCAGAGGACTAATTGAGGGGGCAGTGTATGGAAATGCTGTGACTGTATTTCTTCCAGCAACCCTTCTGCTTAAGGAAAAGATGTGTT